ATCGTAAAATAAACAATTACGAGGTGTTAATCGGAGCTATTATATTATATTTTCAGTCGAGTATTGAGGAAAGGATATATGTTATAGACCGTGGTACATCGACCGGGGGAAGAACGAAGATCAATTCGTGCACTTCTCGCGCAGACGGCTGATTACCCGCATCCTGATTATCGAACCTAACCAGGGAACACAAGCCTGCCCGCCGCAAACAGGCCCGTCCGTGTTCGCGCTGTGTCGGCCAAAACTGTGTGATCACGATGGAACATAGAAAGTGTCTCGTTCACCACATGAAGTGGCGTACGGATCCGCGCATCGTTGCATGTCACGGTGGACGAGTCGATCTCTATTTCGTCTAATTTTTAATTCGTTTAGCGAAGTAGCGATCTTTTTAAGAATTGATTAGACTCTCTGGAGACCGGTTTAAATCGATCGGCACTCCTCGGCTTCATTATCGTACTCTGTATTAGAATCCAAGTGAGTCGGACGCACCAAAGTTCGTTCGCCAAAGATATACTACCGCATACGGGATCGCGCCGCGCACATATTTGCAGATTAATCTGAATCCAATTCTCTCGGATTTTCGCGAAGAAGCGCCCCCGACCACGCTGTTGCACCGAACTCCACGATTATGCGCGATCGATAAGGGGGGAGAGGATGGGTGATATATTCGCATATTTCGGCGTATATTCCGGCGCACCTCGACGAATTCTGCTGTTCTATCCCGACGTGCTTGGCGCGCTCCGCGTTACTCTGGTTTACTCCGACATGTTCTCTCTCTCTCTCTCTCTCTCTCTCTCTCTTTCTGTCCCTACGACGTAATCAATATATCGTGTTGCTGAGACCTTCTCGGCGTCGTCGTCGGCGAGTAGGTTTAGGCATGGCTTTTCAGATATAGCCAGACAGACGCACCAACCCTGGGTAGATATGTATCGTGCACCCGTGTGCACACATACTTCGGTATCTCCGTACTAATTAATATCTCGGACACGGCATCTCCCGCCGCGCGAGATGCTGTTGTTGCTGCCGTCGTTGCTGCTGTTACTGCTGCTGCTGCTGCTTAGCGTCGTCGGCGAGGTCGAACGGGATCGATCCGATCGCTGGTTTTTAATAGACGCTCGAGGCTAGTCTGTTCTAATAAAAACATTCTTTTTATATCCTCCCTCCTCTCTACCGTGTAAACCCGACGTCCTGTTAACCGTAGTTGCTTTAGTCAACTTGGAGAAAATTTTTTTTTCTCAGCGAAAATATCGATGAGAGGTAATCGTGTCCCCGTGTAATTAAATCTCAAACTTTATGATTCAATTGAAGTAAAAATTTTCTCCCGTCAGGGCTAAGTTCATCGTTATCAGTAGTAAACTTTCGACATTCAAGGAAAAGCGATTTCGTATCAATCATAGATTCTATAACAAAAAAAAAGAGAGGAAAGAGTAAGAGAGAACGAGACTTATCTGCTACTTCCCGCCTCTTATATACGTCGACATACCTATATATTAGTAACAAAGAGGGCTGGTGTTTACGTGGTTCAGTGTACGCGCATTCGGAAATTATTGATCTTACTCTCAAGCACAACTCGGGCAAATTCATTATTGGATTTTATATATACGATAAGCTCGTTAAGTTTATTAAACGTAAAATAGAAAGGAATAATGAAAGAGATGGCCGACAAAAATTATGTCTCTGTTCCGCATAAGGTTCGAATTATCTGGTGATAGTTTCCTTAACCGGTCATTTACCGAATGCGTTCCCTGCATTCATAATTACTCCATTAGATTTAGTTAAATTTTACGAGAGAAATTTCCTATAGAGAAAAAAGCGTTACTCGTCGAAATTCGATGGATTCCCGTGATGAGAATCCGAGTTTGATTTCTTACGCGAAATTTCTTATTTTGATTCTTTATTTCTTTAATCCGCAGATCTCTGGAGAATCACCGCCATGATCGGAATTTCCTGACTCTGGGATTATTCCGTTTCGCACCGTCTCAGCTCAATTCGCTTTCTTCCGTAGACAGTTCCCGTTGATTGTGGTTGGATGCGATCGCGGCGGGTTGGTACGCAATTAATCAGCCCGTAAATGACGCCCGCCTTGCCCCGCTCGTGTTGTCGGACGAGACGACGCCGAGGCATCGGGCCTTAATTATACAGCCGGTTTGCGGCGAGCACAACGACGAGGCGTCTCTGTTTCCCCGCCGCAATAAATTGCCCCGTAATTATTCCGTGACTTTCGGAAAAGTCGGACTACATTTCGATAAAAGTACCAACGGTAGACGAAGCCAGAATTAGATAGCTTAGATTAATGCGAGTCTTTCTGCAGTGATGTGTGAAAAGCAAAAAAATTTCTCTTATTCTTTTAAAAATTTTCTATTTACTATAGTTGACTATTTTCTCTTAAATGGCATTTACAATAAAATTTTAAGGCGTTTACGAAGAGATTTAAAATTTAAGCTTGAAGCTTCAAACCATAAGAAATTGATCAATCACAGTCAATTATTCTCACATTTGACTGTGATTGGTCAATTTCTTACGGCCTGAGACTTAACTTTTACTATTTAAAATCTCATTGTAGCCCTCGCTTTATGCGTTTCAGCAAAGTATCCGATTACAAACTGTGTGTGTGTGTGTGTGTGTGTGTGTGTGTGTGTGTGTGCGTGCGTGCGTGCGTGCGTGCGTGCGTGCGTGTGTGTGTGTGTGTCTACATTGTTATATATTTTAAATAAACGAAATCACTTTGGAAAATTCATTTACTCCAGCACGCTCGAGCAAACTCATCCTTCTCCGATGGCGATATTCCCCGCCATCAATTCGGGCTACTGACGATTGGGTCGAATCATTATTCGTTACGTTATTGTAACAGACAGATCTATAACGGCGAGGTTTCGAAATCTTTATGTAACATGCTAAATACCACTGGATATTAACTTTTAAGGAAATTTACTAAACACTCATCCGTAGAGTGCAACATAATGAGCTCATAATGTAAATTTAACGACCTGTACAATAAATTCACGGATTTTATTTCACAAATTAATAATGGAAATATTTGTAGAAGTGGGGAAAAGTGAGGCCATCGCGTAAATGGCGCGTTGTAATAAATTTCCAATACATAATCGAATTAATAATTGCCATAAAATTATATATTACAATGACGAGCGTTCATTTAATAGTCATCAGGAAACCACGAAGAGACAATGATTACTCTTTTACCATCGGAAAATTATTGCGTAATTTCACATATTCAAAGATACCAATTAACGGACTTTATTAGACCGTAACAATCTACGGAAGCATTTCTGTACGTGCGGGAAGAAGAGGAGGGAACTCCTCTCCGGTTTTCGGACAGATTATCGTCGGGCTTATTGTTCCCTTTTAGCTCCACCGGCATCCGCGAGACCGGAGGCGCTCCATTATCAGTTTTTCGTGCGTTTATGCCCGGATGCGACCTTAATTACCTTCCCTTATACTCGCGGCTTATTACGTTCCCCGAGTATAATATAACGCGGCTCGATAATCCCGCTCGCCGCTAGACTTAGCAGTATCGGCCGAATTATAGTGCGTGAAGCACGTTATACCGCGGCCTCGGGGTTGTATATCCATGTTCCTCCCGGACCACAACGGTGGACCATAAATACGGTTTAAGTTATGGCAGCTACCTCGTGCTATATCTCGGTTAAGTTTATTTCGACGCTGATTAATGTAGGATTGCCGGCACATGCCGCATTCGCGGCTGCCCTCGAGAACGAATACGAGGTTTCGAAAGCAGGGAAAAGATAATTTCGCCATCGAGGGTCTTGAATTTCGACGTCATGTATGAAGAAATCAGGGACAATATTTACGCTGATTGACGCATCAATGTTTATTATGAAAATTCATCGACGTTGCACGTGGATCATTCCGGTTGTGGATAAACGTGTTTGCGGATAAACGTGAACTAAACAGAGGAATAGCCCTTTCAATTCCCCGACGTTTGGCTAAAATTCGCGAGCGTACAGGACAACCGACGCGTTCGTGCTCGTCGTAAATCGATACGTCAGGTGTGAATTGCGACGCGTCGCAGCGTCGTGGCGGCGG